TGGTAAATTGCCAAGTACGTCGACATTTACCAGCGACATAAATTGTTAAAGCACATTGCAATTAAGCAAAATACTAAAGACAGTTTTGCTTTGAGTTCGAGTGTACTAGTTGCCGGCGTTCATTGTAGGTTTCATTTTTTAAGTGATAGCGTTTTCTGTTTCGGTGGGTCTACAGATATTATAAGTAGGTTAATTGTCAGCCTAAAGAAGTTCCAAGAACCCGCAAAGTCTGCAAGTGTTTTCACTACAAGTTTAATTTGAATGACTCAATAAACACACACAATACATTACAACACTATGCTTAACCCTTTAATAAGGGTGACATTCGAAATAAATTTGCTTTATTTTAAGGATGCCCTGAAATCATTTTACCGCACAACCAGACAAAACCGCAAAAAATGTCATGAAAAAAAGGTTCTCTAAATGAACGCAAAATTGTATATTTACGACTAAACCTACTTAGTCTACTCAATTCCCCCATCGTTGACCGGTGTGCTAGCATATGACTCTCGGGTATTTTTTTCTGACTTTTGAGGATCATTAAATAAACTATCATAGTTATTAACGTATTTCCAAAATTGAGCACTTTTTCTAAGGGTATGCAACGGAAGGCCAACAAGTACCGAAGATATACGTATAACTTTCGGACCTCCGCGCAGAATGTACATGACGAGAAAGGTATACAGGGTGAAAAGCATCCTGGGTTGATAGAACACTCTTGACGGAGGGAGAGGCTGGGATAGATATTAAACTGCTTTCGTTGGAACCAGAGTAGGTAAGCTAAATCATAAAATGTCACGAGGTAACACAAGGAAATCTCTATAACGCGAAATCCACCAATATGCGTTCCCTAAAACCCTAAGGCATTAAAAAGACACTTTTTAAAAACGAACACATAGTTGGGGTTATAAATTATTATTTAAGAACGAAAAATGATTAATTGTCACTGCAAAATTAAAATTCCAGAAAATGGGCATGTTACAGGTCGGTTAAATTATGCTAAATTTAAAATAGCAAAATGAAGACGAACGCATGAAATGGTCAAAATAAAGAAAACTAATAAAAACTTCAAACAATCCGTACTTTATCGATTGTCCATTTGCATCAAACACGGCTGTAAGTCTTTCAGGCGTGGAGACTTTCAGGCTGTCTACAGTGACCTTTTCAATGTGATTGTCCAGAATAAGGTTGTGCATGCATGGACAGCCTTTGATAATTACGAAAAGGATCTCGATGGGATTGAGATCGGGATTGTTGGCAGTGCTGAAAGTCGACGAAAGTCCACATGCGGTTAGGCTGGCTGTTGTCCAAAAGTTCAGATTGCGGTTAAATGCGTTATTATATTCATACGTCTTTAAAACGCTGGACAGGTGGATTGTTGTGTAAAATTTGGGTGTCCATTCGGCGTCGGTGGATGTGGTTGTAATCGAAAACACCTCTCACAATGGTGACGAACACCTTGCTGTTGATGGTTTCCGTAGTCGACCGCCACAATGGCCGCTATCCGAATTTAATCGCCATTTAAACCACTAACAGTCAACAATTCCTGAATGTTGTCGTCGGCCCAGTGTACTCTTTTAAAAAGTTTTTCCGCTCATTTTAATGCTAAAGAATGTCCAAGAACCCGCAAAGTCTGCAAGGGTTTAAAGACAAATCTTATTTCGGAGGTCTTAATTAACATAAATTACGCACCTAATCTACATGCGTAACGCCTTTAAAATACTGAAAATTGGCATGTATCCGCTTTAATTTTAAGGATGATTTGAAATTACTTGTACCCCAGTAGCAGACGAAACCACAAAAGCATATCATGAAAGGAACGTTCTCTTAATGAACGCAAATCAGTATGTTTACGACTACACCTACTAATTCTATTAAAGTTCACTCGTTATTGAACAGTCAGTCAGCATGTGACCTTACAAAATGCATTACTTTCCTGATAATCCTGCCTGCTTTTTTCAAACACACCCCAGATAATTTAAAAACGCAAAACTACAGTCACTTCGTTTGCAACCATATTGAAAAATTTGCAAAAACTCCGGCCGGTTGACTGACTATCATACTTGGCATTACAATTGAAGTGCAAGACTCACAACATGATTTTCGGCCGACATCCTTCCTATTCTTGTTTACTTATCCGGATTTTTATGGACGTCTTACTGTACATCTTACATTTAATCAGTCGCATTGATGTTTGACGTTTTTGAACTGTCCGCTTTGACTTGAGGTCCTACTATTTCCCCCTCTACATCCAGGTGTTCATTTTGAGAAAAAGAGTAATAATCCTCAGGTAGAATGACAGTTGGAATGTAGTTTGCCGACTTTTACAGTATTATTTTCTCAGCTACCAATATTAGCCAAAAGTATTACCAGTCAATCAATAAATAAATCGTTGATTTCGCATGGCAAAATTAATTATTACGAATAGACGGAAAAAGCTTATTGCTTATGTTCAATTTACAGAAGAATTACGCTGTTAGAAGAAGGGCAATATTCGACGATCTTGTTGCTCGTACATTGATGCGTATGTCTATATTGTTAGAGTAGTATAGAGGTGCAATCTGGCAACTGTCTAGTAAGATGAGGTAAAAGCACAAAAATTGCGACTTTTGGTCGAAACTGTGTAGATAGACGGATGCATCTTTAATGACAAGTGAGTACATGCGAAATGTCCCTTTAGTTAAACTTGCTGACTTTAATGACTTTAATGGAATCATGCTAACGGCTCCCAAGAGCCAACTCAATGCACCAGTCGAAGCAATTCACGAAACGTGGCGACTAAATTAAAAAGGTCACATTAAACGGGACGCATTTCGTTTGTTTGCATATTGCGTCCCGGACATTCCTTTTGTCGCTTAGAATATTTCCACCTGGTATTTCATTGGGAAAATTGTGAAAAATGGTCGGCACATGTTCGAGCCCTGTTTCAGTATATCCATATGAAAGGGCCGCCGCCAGGATAATGAAGATCGTCGACAGCCGTTTTTTCAATTTTGTTTGCTCGCAGTACCAGTACTACGATTAAGAATACGCAGAATAATTGTCATGCAAATACTAAAAATCAAGTAAACGCGTTATGCGTTGCTCATCACGTTTCTGAATTAGGTATAAAAATTAGTTGCACCGCAAAATGCATACTTCCATGTGTAATAAATGTAAAATGGCCAAGTGATTATGGTTATTCTGACGGTCACCATTGACGGTTTTGTGAAATGCAGGGCAATGTTAGCATGCTAAGTTAAGAAGTCGCCGGTGGGGACTGTTGCTGCGGTTTTAAGTATGAGGCCGCCCATGTTTACAAGTCTGACTTTAAAAACCAATATTACATACTGCTGTCGATTCATAAAATCAGTGCTCGCTATTACGTTGTCATGCTTTTGATCACAAAACTGCGAATTTTCGAATTTAAAATGTGTAGTTTATTAAAACTCGCGAAATTCACTAATCTTCTGTAAAAACCGACAAATTAAATTTAGTACGTTTGTAAATTTAGAAAATCGTCCGCAAAAAGACTAGCGTCTATATCCGCTCAAATGTATAAACGCTTTGCCTGACAATATTGCTTGCACAAAAAATCTATCCATAATACTGACATCCACTAGAAGACACTGAGCGAGCGACGCGGATCTCAGCATTTACAAATTCTGGAATTGTCCTATCTGTCACCGTATTTGTGCTCCATGAGTAAGATTATATACAAAGTCTATATGCAACAAATAAGAACTTCAGGGCTCGCGCTCTGTGCACAGCTAAATTACGACGTAGGCGTCGGGACCAGCAGATGCAGCAGCAGCAGCAGCAGCAGCCATCAAGGAACTTTGATGACGATAGTGAGAGTCTGAAACTCTAAGAAAAATGTAATTTGACTCATGAACTCGCCTTCTCCTCATCTGTGTCTTCTTTGTGATATGATTAACGCAGTATGATATCTTGAAGTCGACTATTTACGCATATATGAATAGCAACAATTTCGCATTTGTTTTTTCCGTTGTGCGCGTGCTGCCAGTATTCATGCATAGATTATTACCGCCATCAGCTTATAACACAGTAGGAATTATAACCAAAGGCTCCAGTATAATGTCTAATGTGCACGAACAGTTAAGTTGTCTTCATCATGAAGAAGCGTTCTTACGAATCAGGTATGTGCATACTAGATTTAGCTTTGTTATTTTCAATATCACAAGGACTGGCAATATCGCACCCATTGTCAAGGAAGCTGTGCATACTTTCACTGACCTGCAGTCCGCATTGCCGTTAGTGTCTGTATTGGTGTTTGCGTTTTGGAAACTGAACTCTTCTTTTCAGTCTTACCTATTCGCACTTAACCGTGTTAAGTTAGATGCAAGCAGTTTTATTACATTCAATGCAACTTACACCGTAAATATAAATTGTTTACTATCGTGTCGAAAACCATTCATCACGACATGCGGCTGACTGTAGCCTCCCATCGCATATTCACTCTCGTATAAACGACTTTAGATTTGCCGATACAAGCGAAAGTGCAAGTCCCAGGAATTAGTTGATAAGAAGCAGATGAGATAGTTGTAACAAGAGCTTTATTCGCCTGGCGTGTCGGATCCTAGCTCAAACCAATCCTCAAATACAGTGGCAGGGATAAAATGAAAAGGACATTTACCTACCCTGAGTAGTTTTGATATTTCGTAAGAATCCTTATCAGTTCTCGCCACCAAGGCAATTCCTCCCCTAAATTCACAGTTATTTTATTGGAGTGTTCCAGTGAGTAATTCTCTGTACGCTTAGATCTTTGGTCTTAAGAGGAGGCTGTTGGTGTGGGCGTTAGATGCAAGTCCACGGACTTTATATTTGTTGTTAAGTGCCACGTGCAAAACCACGATCAGGAATTGGAGGGTCTCCAGCCTGAGAGTAGGGAACCAATCATCACAGATTTAAATGAACGACGATTGTAGTTTTGCGTGTTCATTGACACTTATATCAATACTTGCAGCTTCCTCCCACCAACAGTGTTCTCTCAGCCCAATATGTTCCGCACCTTGTATATCTTCGTTGTTATCTACATTATGCGCGGATGTCCGAAAATTATGCGTACGTTTTCGGGAGGTTTTTAGCTTGCCATTATGTAATTTTAATAGTTATGCCTTCTTTAAAAATAATTTAAAAACGATTTATGATAATATCGATGTTGATTATCTAATGGCTGCAAAATCCGACTCAAGGCAACTGGCGTAAAAGTGAAGAGTTTTCGTAAACATATTTTCTTCTGGACCGTGAAAGTAGCCCATTTTAGTCTTGAACAAGGTATGGATTGGAAACGATTAGAAAAATTCAAAAAAAGATTTGGATTGGTTCTGACCGTCTATCCAACAATCGATCAATGAGCAGCATATCAAGAACCAGGAAAACATTTATTTTATTTATCTAAGCATACAATTACAAAATCCTTGCATGCAGGTTATTTCTCATTTCTCAGACACACTTGCAATATGTGAGAGAAGGAGTTGCAATCGCTGGAGCAAAAAAAACTTTATCTACCTTGCTTTTTGAATGCATAGGCAATCATATAGGATTCACTGGCTTAATCCGTTCACAAGGTGTACGAGGTGTTTATTGACAAGGAAGCAAGTTTTATCGCGCATGTAGCGTAGTACAGATAGAGCAAGAGGCCGCTCGGTCGAAACTGTCTGAGAAGTAAAGGAGCGCTGAAACCCCCAGTCTGCGCACTCGGACAATGCCTGACAAACACAACGCTTCCGCGGAATACGTCTACAAATCTTCAAGCAAGTGCCATGATTAGGTGCACTCTGGCAAATCGGCACTGCTTATTTTTATACTACGTTGTTTGCCGTTATGCGGTCATATAGAATCTGCCATCCGTGCCGTTAAAACGCTGGTCGTTGAAATGAAATAGGTGACGGCGACGGTAAGGTACGTGACCAAACGTAACAGTCGGTGGATCGGGAATTGTGCCATATGGGGCTTTATGTTGAAATCATTTTGCAAACCGTTCCATCTCTTATGACGAAAATTAGTATACGCGAACTCGAATCGTTATAAAAATTATGTTCCTTTTGGAATTTGCCTCCTGGTTATTTTTCAATTATCCCGCCATCGTCCGTTGTCCTTGGAAAGGATTGGACAAGACTTCCGGCACAAACTCAAATAATTCCTGTGCTTTCTTGTACTTCGTATTCTACTGTCTGGCATGCTGTTCCACCTATAAAACCCCCATTACCGCCATCCTCGTATGACACCATGTACAACCTACTGGCAGTTAAGTGGGGTCCTTTACTTCACTACTGCCCAATGGGCCAACTGCAAATTGTTCAGGACGGAGGAATGAAGATAAGCGTACTGTGTGGATTTCAAAAGAGTCTTAAACTGCCGTTATTCTTCCAAAATGAGTCAACAATAGCTACACCTTAATAATAATAATAATAATCAAGGCAAAACAAATACAATGAGGCTCATTATTGGTTTGTGCACACGTAAAGTTCCCTGCAAATTTGAGCTCGCTGTGTTTTTAGACAGTTTGACAATATTAGAGACTAATTGTATTACATAAAAACGACTATTATTTTATATTTGACGATAAAGCATACCTTAATACATTTATTATAAAAATCTAACACACATTCAGAAATAGAGCCCATATTTTGTTTTCTCGCCTGCTGGTACAAAATAAAAAACACAATTTAACCCAAAAGCATGTGAGAATACTTAGTCCCGTAATTCATGCATATGTAATGAAGAGAGCTGCAAAGACACAAGTCATGATCATTTTAATTCCTTCCTCATAACAGCGCTTGTCGATCACAACCGAACCTACACGAGTTCCTGGGTTTTGAATTTTACCTCCAATCTTGAAATCTTGACGTCAACCAACGTGCGTGTTAAGCCCCTCGCGGACTACTATGTTTCTTCTGATGCCAAACTTTCGCACAGCTCGCCGTCTGGGGAAGCCATTTATACTGGCATTAACACATCCAACATCCATGTTCATCTTCAACCCCGCGTCTCTGCTAGCTCGTCATACGGACCAACAAGTATATTTCATTATCACCTTGTGTACATTTCCTTGCTAATAATGTTGAGTATGCTTAAGTGATCGGGCTTATAGTATTACAGCTAGTTAGCTTGGATTAAACCCAAATCGACCAACCGTTGCAAAAAAATAGCCATCCAGGCATAGCAGGATTAGGCATATACTTATCTATAAAGAAGATGACCGCATGATCATTTCAGGTCTCCTATAGGAGTCCATCCTCAGAGACTGAGAGAATGCTACGTCAAATGAACAGGTAGTCTAGTCAGAGGGAAGAAATGGAGGAGGAAGTGTTGGACGGGTTGATGTTCGCGATTATACTGAGTTTTGTTGATCGCGCGTTCATTGTATTGTTTGAATAATAACGTGCAATTCACATATCCGCTTCTATATGTGTCCGAATACAGACACTGAGTAATTGCCCTTATTCAGGAGTTAAAAATTGCTACATTAGAAATACAGCGTCTTCATTTAAAATACTTTGGTAGGATTTGCAGCGTCCCCTATCGGTCTGACAAATTTATGCACAGTTGTTTTCGTGATTGGATTCTCCACAGAGTATTGCCACAAATAGGTATCATATCAATTGGCAATCAACCTTAAATATGCATTCTAAACCTCACTTTATCCGCAGCCCCTTTAAGCCCGAATAATGCTGAATCAACTGCTGAGATTTGCAGAAGTCAACATTAGTCTTCATAAGCAATCACACAGCATAGTCTAATTCGTGAATATATTACAAAACTTTGTAGCAATTATCCTGCCAAGCCCATCTTTTCAAACATATTCCATCTACCTATAAAGACATTATAAGGCACGCGCTAGATGATTTTAACAAAGCGTTTACGCTTGGAGTCTTTATGAACGTCGGAACGATTACAAATGGCAATTAGATGAGTAGCCATGTGATTTACCTCATATGCAATTCTCTAAGGATGAGTACAAGCTTAACTGGACGCAACAACTTGGCTTTGTTTGGCATCCGCCCAACATTAACAACATAACAAACACCTCTACCTGAATCGTCCCTTTGAAATGCTATTTTTTTCAAAAAAATGCACGTGTTGCATAAACGTAAGTTGATGGACGGAAGACGATCCGTCAGTGTAAAATAACGGATTGGCCAACTTCTGGTGTCACTGACTGCCCAGCTCATAATAGGGGGCTAAATTACCTGTTTGATGACGTTTTGCAATGTAACTATAGTTTCATATGATAGTTTTCCTCAGATTGTCCCAAGCACGCAATCCTAGAATAATACATTGAGGATAAATTGCCTATGTTATCCAAGTAGGCTAAATTCTGCTCGGTTTCCATTCTTACATCAGAATATTCATTTATGCCTTGTAATATGCATTGCAAAATACATGCATGTTCTCTCTTCCCCTAGTTACGCTCGATGTAATATTGAGACGCTGGCCAGTCTTTCTGATAGCGGGTTTGATTTTTTTGGCGGCCTGGGTAAGTTCTTAAATAGCAGAGTTAAATTTAATACACGCATGCATACTGAAATAGTCATAAACAGGTCACATATATCGAAGTCTGATGCGCGTTTCGATAGATATATTCGATCGCGTTTTTCACTCAAGTACTGTTTCTCACCCTCCTCATTTTCAATACTATGTTAGTGTGGAAATTTATGTGGTTTGCGATTAAAAGTTGTTGCCTACCTGTCAGAGGTCAGGGTCAAATCATTGATGGGGACACATTACTCCTAAAGTTGATAATGTCCGTGTTTTCATTTGGCCGGTCCTTATGTTCATTTCGATTTTCAGTGCTCTGTTAAAAACACCTTAGTATATCACCTGTCTGCCGCAAATATATTTCTTTTTCTTGTGATAACGTAAGAGATATCCAAGGTTTCATTTTATTCACAGTGAATGCGTTTCAATTATTTCTCAATTCGCACCTTGCTTTATTCTGACACTAACGTCCCATTGTTGCGCGAAGTACAAATTTATTCGTGCCGGAATTATCCCAAGCTGTACTGATGCGACTGTTACCGATTTGCCCAATGCTGAAATACAAATTAACGCAGAATTTAAATCACTTGTTTTCGCTTCTGCGTAAAGACGTGCACTAAACATCATTAAATGCACTTTAGCCGCAATGGTATCCTTAGACATACAGTGAGTGACCGATCTCTGGAAATAATGCCTGAAATTGTGAAGTGCGTTTTCATTTACCTAGGCGCGGTTCTAATACTTATTGTCCTGCGTCATAATCCTATGATATTTCGGACCAAGTAGGATATCAGCTTTTTAATACACTGCTTTTCAATCTTCTGTTGAAACCATACTCGGTAAAAATGACTACTTAAATTCCATGCACTTTTCCCATTGATTTTCAGTGGTCTTACACTTTTAAATATATCTTATATAAACCAAACACACATGCAATCTTTCAGCAGTTTAGTATAAATATACGCCCTCTTTATAGTTTCTGCTCTAGGAAGCAGTATAATAGGGTTTTTAAAATGTTCCCAATTATGCGATTTTTTATGAACACACAATGGCCATTCGCATAGCATCGTAAATGGACGTTAAGCACAGCTCCTCATGAAATGTACAACATGGTCCGCATCCATTACAAAAGTATATGAACTCTGTATGATATCTTTTTAAAGGCATATAAACATATATGTTTTTTATTAAGCTGAACGAATACACCTTGTAGACTGAAATCAATAAGCTCTAATACAACAAATGTTCGGTCTCTAAATTATTCGGTAATTAGATAACTTCTTTAAAACGTAATTGTACTCCTTCTTCAAGTACTAAATATAAAGATGCCGTCATTCTCTATTAACATGTTGAAAGGCATGTTTTTGTTGACGGTTTATATAAGATATATTTAAATTCCCAAGACCATTTAAAATCAGTGAAAAAAGTACATGCTAATTAAATAGTCATTTTTGCAGAGGACGGTTTCAACAGAGGATTGGAAAGTAATGTATACAAAGCTGATATCCTGCTTAGTGCGAAATATTAAAGGATTATGCTGCAAGATAACCTGTATTACCAAAACGCTCAGGCCATCCTTCCTAATCAAAAACGCATTTCAGAATTTCAGCCGACATGCAGCCGGAAATATAAGGCTTTGACCTTCATAACCGACTCGAATAGCCGAACTAAAATAATTTTGAAAAAATAGCCAATGTGTGCTAGTCTAGCATTCTGTACGTGGCGGTGGAAGATATAATAAGTGTTAAACTGACTGAGATTTGTCGCATCGTTGCCTTATATATTGTGGTCATCGACGGAGATAGCGCATTTTTTGGTGCACTGGGTAGAGGATTTGAGCTATATCTGTCTCACGTACCCCTCCTTAAACAGTGTCAAGACGGAAGGAGGTGTGGTTATCACAGTAAACATCAAATATGACTTGCTTATATGCGTATGCCACGCACGACCAAGTGTTTTCCTAGCCTGAAGGGGTCACACTAAACGACATCTATATCTCTAAATGAAATATGCATCTTATGTTTCCTTACAGTCGTTGACGATATTTTTGGGGGTCTACACGTCCGTCAAATACGCAAGGAGTAGAAAGCAAAAGTAATCAATGGAACGCCTCGGTATCGAGATTTCATACTCCGTCTTCTACGTGGTCACGCAACAGCCCTCAATCTCATAAGTGTCATGTTATCCCGTCTATATGTTTGCTGTGTTAAATAAAGGAAATTTAAACGGCGAACATGCCTTTTATTATGCACGACCAAATTAAGCGCAATTTTAATTTTCCAATCTGCGGACAGGCGTTTGCAGCATACCGTAGGTGGGCTTACTTATGAAAGGTCAACTAAAATTCCGAAATGCGTTTTCGTTTCGAAAAAAAAATACTAAAGTAAAGTCTTAAAGTAATCATCGTGCTGCAAAATTGTACGTCCAGGAATGGCAACTGATTGTTGACTTCCTCTTCCATAGTAAACTGAATATCGGGAAAGATGGAGTTCAACAATGCCTTGAAAGCCTTCACCTCGCTCCTCTTGATTACAACGAACGTGTCGTCGACGTATCTGGCCCAGAACTTCGGGGGGTACGAGCTAAAGACCTGCTGCTCGAGTCTCTGCAAAACTGCTTCGGCAATTAGTCCAGACAGAGGCGAGCCCATCGGTGTCCCCTTCTTTTGCTCGTCGACTTGGCCGTTGAATGTAAAGAAGGTCTTAAGACACAGTTCTAGGAGCTCGATGATGTGTGCCCGTTTGAGCTGTTGGTCGGTTTCATCATACTTTTCCCGGAGAAAGCCATCAATAGTGTCGATAGCCAGCGCGGGTGGGATGGAGGTGAATAATGAGATCACGTCGAATGACACCATCACCTCATCTGCCTCCACCTCGAGATGTTTGATGCGCGTCAAGAACTCTTCAGCCGACTTCACTGTCCACTACGAATCCTTGGTAAGGAAACAAAGTTGCTGGTACAGCCACTTTGACAGCCCAAAGGCTGGAGTGCCACGTAAGGGGACGATGGGGCGTAGCGGCACCCCCTGCTTGTGGACCTTTGGTAGGCCGTAGAAGCGCGCCATCGCGGTATCACTGGCTTTGGCGGCCAACGCTTCCCTTCTCGTAAGAGCTCCCGCCTTCCTCAGCTTGTCGATCGTATTGTTTATGCTGTTTACGAGCTTCTTGAACTCGCTGACGGTCGATGGCGCATAAGCTTCCTTGTCCATCAAGAGGTTGCCTAGTTTTGTGCAGTACTCAGCCTAATCCATGACGATAGTCGAGCGCCCCAGCCGGAAATATAAGGCTTTGACCTTCATAACCGACTCGAATAGCCGAAGTAAAATAATTTTGAAAAAATAGCCAATGTGTGCTAGTCTAGCATTCTGTACGTGGCGGTCGAAGATATAATAAGTGTTAAACTGACTGAGATTTGTCGTATCGTTGCCTTATATATTGTGGTCATCGACGGAGATAGCGCATTTATGGGTGCACTGGGTAGACGATTTGAGCTATATCTGTCTCACGTACCCCTCCTTAAACAGTGTCAAGACGGAAGGAGGTGTGGTTATCACAGTAAACATCAAATATGACTTGCTTATATGCATATGCCACGCACGACCTCGTGTTTTCCTAGCCTGAAGGGGTCACACTATACGACATCTATATCTCTAAATGAAATATGCATCTAATGTTTCCTTACAGTCGTTGACGATGTTTTTGGGGGTCTACACGTCCGTCAAATACGCAAGGAGTAGAAAGCAAAAGTAATCAATGGAACGCCTCGGTATCGAGATTTCATACTCCGTCTTCTACGTGGTCACGCAACAGCCCTCAATCTCATAAGTGTCATGTTATCCCGTCTATATGTTTGCTGTGTTAAATAAAGGAAATTTAAACGGCGAACATGCCTTTTATTATGCACGACCAAATTAAGCGCAATTTTAATTTTCCAATCTGCGGACAGGCGTTTGCAGCATACCGTAGGTGGGCTTACTTATGAAAGGTCAACTAAAATTCCGAAATGCGTTTTCGTTTCGAAAAAAAATACTAAAGTAAAGTCTTAAAGTAATCATCGTGCTGCAAAATTGTACGTCCAGGAAGGACAACTGATTGTTGACTTCCTCTTCCATAGTAAACTGAATATCGGGAAAGATGGAGTTCAACAATGCCTTGAAAGCCTTCACCTCGCTCCTCTTGATTACAACGAACGTGTCGTCGACGTATCTGGCCCAGAACATCGGGGGGTACGAGCTAAAGACCTGCTGCTCGAGTCTCTGCAAAACTGCTTCGGCAATTAGTCCAGACAGAGGCGAGCCCATCGGTGTCCCCTTCTTTTGCTCGTCGACTTGGCCGTTGAATGTAAAGAAGGTCTTAAGACACAGTTCTAGGAGCTCGATGATGTGTGCCCGTTTGAGCTGTTGGTCGGTTTCATCATACTTTTCCCGGAGAAAGCCATCAATAGTGTCGATAGCCAGCGCGGGTGGGATGGAGGTGAATAATGAGATCACGTCGAATGACACCATCACCTCATCTGCCTCCACCTCGAGATGTTTGATGCGCGTCAAGAACTCTTCAGCCGACTTCACTGTCCACTCCGAATCCTTGGTAAGGAAACAAAGTTGCTGGTACAGCCACTTTGACAGCCCAAAGGCTGGAGTTCCACGTAAGGAGACGATGGGGCGTAGCGGCACCCCCTGCTTGTGGACCTTTGGTAGGCCGTAGAAGCGCGCCATCGCGGTATCACTGGCTTTGGCGGCCAACGCTTCCCTTCTCGTAAGAGCTCCCGCCTTCCTCAGCTTGTCGATCGTATTGTTTATGCTGTTTACGAGCTTCTTGAACTCGCTGACGGTCGATGGCGCATAAGCTTCCTTGTCCATCAAGAGGTTGCCTAGTTTTGTGCAGTACTCAGCCTAATCCATGACGACAGTCGAGCGCCCCTTGTCGGCGGGCAGGGTGACGATATCCTTCATTTTTCGTATCTTCAGAAGTTCTCGATCTTCTGATTTAGAAATCGTCATCTGGCGTTTGTGTTGGAGGATTAAGGTCGACACTTGTTGTCGCATGGCGTTTTTGCACTCCTCGCCTGCCTCACACTTCTGGAGAGCCGATTCAAAGGATGCAATACAGTCTTCTGGTAGAGCATCTCTTGTGTTGAACTTCGCGTCATAGGATAGAACCGCTAGTTGTTGCTGAGTGAAACGATGAGAGGACAAGTTGTGAACCAAGGCACCGTCAGTAGAGGGCTGCTTTGGCGGACTTATTTTCTCAAATTTTCCAGACAACTGGTCATCACGCAACTTGCGGTGACGCCGTGCGCTGTCGAGAATTTCCGCTCTGAGGACCCCCAGCTCGTTTGCCGTAAAGATCGACTGGCAAGTTGACGAATGATGTTCAATCATCTGGCGGTACTTGTGGATGCGGGCGTGGCAGTCTCGTATCAGTACCCTGATCATTTTCTTCTTGAAGTCCGCCATCGTCCGTCGGCAAAGGTCAGTGTTCACAGGCGGTCTATATTTGAGGCATTTCGGTAAGACGTCCTCATCAAGGCACCTGTGCAGGAATTTCAGCTGAGCGTAGGTGGAGGACTCCCGCTTCGCGAAGGTCTCCCATCTGCGTGCTGAGCGGAGGGCTGTGCGCCCATAGCATGCATCGATATGCGTAAAGATTCGAGGTCCAGACATTGTATCGCGTTCATCATCTCCCGAAGAAGACGAAGAAGAAGAGAGGGCGAATTCATGGACCATATTGTATTCGAACTGACGTTTCGGAAACTTCCTCGTTTCCATCAACAGAGTAGCGTAGTTGTTGCACTTGCCGAACTTGAGTTGTTCAGTCTTGCCGCTTGCCTCGTATTATAGCCGTGCTGGACGCACGAACTTTGACCTGCCCGTTTGCCGCTGACTGGCTTAGACCTCCCTGGGGCTGACCGCTGACAGGCCTGCGTGACCTTTGTTCCCTTTGGGGTCGGCGTAATTGTGGTCAAATCAACGTGCCGCTTGGCCTCTCCCACATCAGCCGGTGGACTGATCGGTCGTTGCTGTTCAGTTGAGCAGCATTCAGCTTCGCGGGCGCGTCGGTGAGGGAGTGTTCGGCTTTGGTCACATGACCTCTGGCCCCCAATTCCGCTCTTTTCCGTGAGCGTTGACTCTCGGTCCCGCGTGCTCGCTTGCCTTACTGGTCCTGTCCGGACTGATCCGAGCCTTGTACGCAGCGCCTGATAGGCGGGATGTAGATCTATAGCTCGGTTGAGTGTACCAGCCGAGGACCAATTTTCGAGCACCAGTCTGGCCATCTTCTCATTGGCTCTGCCAATTACCCTCGCTTACTCAAAGGCAAAATCATGGTTCAGTTCTATTATGTGGCCATAGACCAAAGACAGCTTGTCCTTGCGGTTGATTGCAAGTTGGTGTTCGTGCAATCTTGTACCGAGGCGTTTGCCCGTTTCACCAACATACCTCGCATTGCAATTTAGGCATGGTATGCTGTAGACCACCGCCGACTGTTCAGTTGTTGGTAGCGGGTCTTTGGGCTTCATGATTTGCTGTCTGATGGTGCATTCTGGTTTATGAGCCACGCCAATCCCAAAAGGTTTCAGGATTCTTGCCGTTGCCTCTGATACGTTCTTCACATAGGGTATTGAGAGACAGAACTTGGGCTTTTCTCCACTCGACCGCTCAAAATGAGGCTTTTTGAGGCAATTGCGTATGAAGGACTTCGGGTAGCCGTTGGCTTTGAAAAGGGCCTGCAAGTAATTCATCTCCTCCTTCCTCCCACTGTCGTCGCTACAGTGTGCTTGAACGCGTTGAAAGAGAGTTATGACACAACTGCGCTTATGACCCACAGGGTGGTTGCTTCGGAAGTGGAGGATGCGCCTGGTATTTGTTGCTTTACGGTAAACCGTTGTCCTTATCTTCCCGTCTGTCAATCTCGTGACTTGTACGTCCAGGAAGGGCAACTGATTGTTGACTTCCTCTTCCATAGTAAACTGAATATCGGGAAAGATGGAGTTCAACAATGCCTTGAAAGCCTTCACCTCGCTCCTCTTGATTACAACGAACGTGTCGTCGACGTATCTGGCCCAGAACTTCGGGGGGTACGAGCTAAAGACCTGCTGCTCGAGTCTCTGCAAAACTGCTTCGGCAATTAGTCCAGACAGAGGCGAGCCCATCGGTGTCCCCTTCTTTTGCTCGTCGACTTGGCCGTTGAATGTAAAGAAGGTCTTAAGACACAGTTCTAGGAGCTCGATGATGTGTGCCCGTTTGAGCTGTTGGTCGGTTTCATCATACTTTTCCCGGAGAAAGCCATCAATGGTGTCGATGGCCAGCGCGGGTGGGATGGAGGTGAATAATGAGATCACGTCAAATGACACCATCACCTCATCTGCCTCCACTTCGAGATGTTTGATGCGCGTCAAGAACTCTTCAGCCGACTTAACTGTCCACTCCGAATCCTTGGTAAGGAAACAAAGTCGTTGGTACAGCCACTTTGACAGCCCAAAGAATTATGCTGTATGCTAACCATTTGTATAACACTTCTTAATTAACGTTTTAGAAACGGAAACGCATTTTGGAATTTCGGTGGATATTTCATGAGTTATCCCACCCACTGCAACTACTGATAATCAAGTCTTGATTTAGACGTTTGTTATTTTAAAAGCTTCAACAATATTTTGTGGAAGCACTTAGATATGACCACAACCTACCCATGGCATTATTGTAATGACGACAGAATTCACACAGGAACTACGAAGTTTACCGTGAGACCTCATTATTTAAGACCGTGTTGCACATTTTGCGCACGTTTTAATCTAAAGCGCCGCTAATTACATCAAATCGTTACTACCGTTCTTTATCAGGTAGGACTGAGGTTGCACACTCACAATACATGGGTAATCACCGGTTCTGTGATTTCATACGGAATCCCTCTCTCCCGCCCCAAAGTAGTTTGCGCGGCCTTCCTACCTGTTTATCTGGTTTTGCATATTTGAGTTTCATGTGGGGCTGTCGACCAAGAAATCCTTCTGTAGGCCAATATACACGTTTCGGCTTCGTCAACCGCTGCCTCCGCACGCACATTCCGCGAAGAAACGGAGGAGAGCCGCCAACACTCTGGCACCCTCTACCATATATAAAAATGTGTCCGAAGCGATAGAATGTATCGCAGAAAAGCTCAGCGTGGTTATCGCTCACCGTAGGACAGCGACCATTCGCAAATCGACTAGGCGTAGGAGAACAGTTGGGTCTCGTTTATCAGATCTTATGCCGGGACTGCCCTCGCCACTACGCAGGGCAGACCGTACGGCGACATAGCTCACGATTAACGGAGCATAAACAGGCGGTTCGAAGAGGCGGCCGGTTGTTTCAGGTCGCCACTCACACCCTGGAGGAAGGCCACTAATTTAACTTCGCGAGCACGCGATCCAGCGATAAGACAGGGCGGGCACTGTTGGAGGCCTGGGTGTCTGACACCAGCTTCATCAATAAATATGTTCACATACCCCCCTGTTATCACGCGCTCCGTTCCCGCGGCCAAGAGGCAAGACTCAATTCCCAGCCAAGTATGCACGCATTCACGCCGCCGTGAGACGGGGAGGGACTCAGCTTATCGCGAATACCACCCTCTGCACTCACATCCCCCCCCCCTTCATGACTTGACTACAAAAACTACTCATTTGATGCCGCATTGTCACAGTCTGACGACGGCCTTCTTTACGAAACCGATAGCTCAGACTAAAACACCCACGGTCACAGAGCTCGTGAGCCCATCTTCTTTACAACAGATATCTGGGATTTGCGTATTCGCTTTCATACGTGTTAAAACATTCTAGTTCACAGTGAGTGACTGATCTTATTAACTTTTGTCCGGAATTCTTGTACCACTTCTTTCTTCGTCATACTCTTGAAGGTGTCGACTAATGAGTCAGCTTGGTTATTCGATTTGAAGGGAGGTACGGATGTGATTGACGAATTTCCTTTCTCTAATACTGTTCTTCGACAAGAAAGACGTAAATCATATTCCATTGTCGGTTATGACTTCCGTAGGAATACCGTAACGCGCGATCATTTCACACAACTGCGTATCCGTGGTCTCCACGTCTGCGTATTTTACTTCTGTAAACCCTAGCCATGTTGATCATGCGCCGAGGAACACTAAGAAAGCCTCAAGGGAAAAAAGCTCGGCCTAATGCATATGCACTCTCTTCCACGGTCTCAGGACTAATGGCCACGGTAAAGGGGGTACTCAAGGTGTGTTCTTTTCGGAGTGTCAGCACCGTCCATAATTCCTGACAACACCCGCCCCAATTGTCAACACTGTCTAAAAACATTCATTCACCACATGAGTCTACTCGCCTATAAGGACATCCATGAATAATGTGGTAATTCTCCATCAGCATCGATCGAATGTTCCGTTTTGCATTGTGCGGAAAAAGGTTGCTTAATAAGAAAGGATTTTTCTTGCTGCCGCTGATATGTAAGTAGTACTAATATAAGTTTTCTTTTGTTTGCACGTTGACAGACCAGTCGCCGACTAGGCAATCTGAACTAAATCGACAGATGCGATTTTGAGCATAGCAGTCAGCGCATATTAGAAGAACCTTTACGCCGTCAAATATTCGTAAGACTCTGCCGACGGTAAAGGCCAGAGTGTTTTAGAGAATCCTTGAGCAGACTCTGGGGGACAGTAAAAAAAATAAAACTTAGAAAAGACACAGTGGTGTGAAATCTTATGAAACCATACTACAGTTAATAGACAAATTGTGCACCTCATGAAAAACATTATTTTTAACCTCCCCTGACAATATTCGTCTAACTAAGCAAATTAAGCAGACACATCAACGGCTTTTGGGAGTACACATTCATTTGGTGTTTCGATGGACTCACTGGAGACGGTTTTCGATTTGCTTTGCAATGTTCCAATATTTCAATAACCATTCGCGTGAAACCGTGTATGCTGCAGCACCTGAACCTACCGTGTTATTGCGCCAAAGGAAAAATCGCGCTCCAGAAAAATCTTCTTAGGCGCTGTCACCCCATCTTTCTTAGTCTGCCTCTGCCTGGCCTCCAAATTGTTGATGCAAAGGCAGACGGTGGTTTCAGTCAAATATGTGTAGGCGAAGAAGCAAAAACACATTTAACGGAAAGGCACTGCGGATGGTGCAAACAGATTCGCTTGATTAGTTGGTTGTGACGAGCCGTGAGTAAGGTTTCCGTCAGAGGTTACGGCAGACAGGAAGCTGACTGAGTGCTAGAAAACAGTCGGACTTCAAGTATGCTACATCCTTTAATGCGAAGGCATCCAGCTACGGTGCGTTCTCTGCAACTACAAAGTCTTAAGTCGTCCACTAAGCTATTGTCGCATAAAATACTTGCGAATAGTCGCTCAAATGATCATATGTGGACGAAAATATGCATTTACACATGCGCTGTTGAGTACGAGATCCACCTCATCATATTTTAGTTTTTCCCCTTAAATCCCGCTGCCGAGGATTTTTTAAACCTCTCTTCAGAAATCCTTTTTTGATCTCGAGTAACCTACGGGAGTACCTATTTAAAAAAACGTTAAGTGTTACGGTATAACGCTAAAGCATCCACACTTGGAGCCCACATGAACACAACACAATGCTCTCACGTGAAGGGCAACAGAACAAGCGAAAACAGAGATTTGAAAGCCTAAAGCGACAATAGTAATACGTAAGGAGGCAAAAATAATAAAAGCATGTGGCAATAGTCAATGGAAAGTTGATTAAATTATGCTCCAATTATTCTCCAAATCACCGACTGGTGCTGACCACCTCGCAAAAGGCTTTAAAACATTTCCTCGGTGTCTGTACCCGTGGCTTTTCAAACTCTAGTGAAACGCTGCGCACCGCAGCACCTGAACCTACCGTGTCGATGGAAAGCTCACGTGGATGTTACATTTCCTTTCCTCTGGCACTCTGGTCCCATCTTCCGTAGTCGGCCTGTGTATAGCCTCCAAATTGTAGACGCAGAAACGAGTAGATGATTAGCAGTTTAGTTGATCCACGCACTAACTGGTTGGAGGAAGCGCTGCAAAAACACATTTTACTTAAAGGCACTGCGGTTGATGCACAACAACGCAGTCGATTAGTCGGTTGTGCCAAGCCATGACTGCGGTTCACGTCAGAGGCTAAGAAAGACAAGAAGCTGCTTGAGCGCTAGCCCAAATTTGTGTGCTGTTATTTTGTAGTCACTAGAAACGCATCGGGTTTCCTCGTAAGTTGCCAAATTTTCAAAAACAATTCTCGTGATGATGCTGTGCGCCGCAGTACCTGAGCCAGTGGTGTTTTTGCGCCAAGGGACAAATCACGCTCCATAAAATAGCAAACGCCACATTTTTTTTCCTCACCCCATCCTCCGTAGTGTGCCTCTGCCTGGCCTCCAAATTGTTGATGCAGAAGGGAGACGGCGCTAAGCGGTTTTGTTGATCCACGCCTTGGCTGGCTGCAGGCAAAGGTGGGCAGGCAACGCAGCAAAAAAACATATTTCACTTAAAGGCATTGCAGATGATGCACACCGATTCAGTTACTTAGTCGTTTGCGCCGACCCATGACTGGGGCGGGCGCCAGAGGCTACGGAAGGGAAAAGGCGAGAGGACTGCTCACAAACCGGTGGACTTTAAGTGTCCGTATCTCCTTTAACGCAAAACCATGCGGACCCCATCCCATTTCTGTTGCCACAGTGTCTTGAACCGTGTTCAAACTCGTTGCTGCATGAAAGGCTTAAGAGCGGTCGCTCAATTGGAAATAACTGGGCACGTAATGATACACTTAAGAATATGCTGTCAAGTACCGGCCTTACCATAAACCTTACAAATTTAACAACATATACAGCGTCGTACGAGGTCCGTCCTATCATTTTTTTAGTTCCTCATTTTGAACCCCAGCGTCAAGTTGGCTGTTGTAGAATTCTCTCCACAATTTATTTTTAAAATGCTGTGAAGGCTGTGGAGTTAGTTAATCTTAAACGGGCAATGTCACGCTATATATCAGAAGCGACCGCATTTTGATAGTACATGAACGCTATTTTTTGCCATCTTCACTGAATAATTTAACCTATCGATGAAGGACGAGGGGTCCAAAAACGATGAAGCCGATGATAGCACTACCAGAAGAGTGACGAAATCCTGATATAAATAAGCTATGTTTGTCTGCCAAGCCATCCACTAATAACGAATGCCACAGGAAAGACTTTAGGAAAATATTTGTTCGGTCTGGATGCATGTCCTTTGGTGTCCTTTAACATTCTTCATCTGGCAAAGCGCTGCACATGAGGAAAACTAACGATTCAACGAAAGGAATTTGGTGCTCGTTGACACTAGAGGCAGACAAGGAAGAAAAGGTCTGTAGAGGCA